TACAGTACTTACACAGATGCACCATGTGGTGCTGGAGTAGTACAGTACTTACACAGATGCACCATGTGGTGCTGGAGTAGTACAGTACTTACACAGATGCACCATGTGGTGCTGGAGTAGTACAGTACTTACACAGATGCACCATGTGGTGCTGGAGTAGTACATTATTTACACAGATGCACCATGTGGTGCTCGAGTAGTACATTATTTACACAGATGCACCATGTGGTGCTGGAGTAGTACAGTACTTACACAGATGCACCATGTGGTGCTGGAGTAGTACAGTACTTACACAGATGCACCATGTGGTGCTGGAGTAGTTGAGGTAATTCGATTGAATTTGTCACTAATTAGCTCTTGCTCTTGAAAATTGATAAATAGAATCACTCTCTTTTTTTTCCTGTTTCTTATATTTTATTCTTTTCTAATACTGCTCAAAGGCTTATCAGTTATATAGGTAGTTTCTAAATCTACCTAGCTGAATAGAGAGGGCAAACCACAGCATACACATGTAAATATGTTAAAAGCATACTACACCAAATGTAAATTTAAGATACGCGTGCAATTAGTTATATGTAGATTACAAGTAATATGACATTAGAGGTTAGGTTCTAGTCCCACCTGCGGTAGTTGACATGAATATTCATGCTTGGTTTATTAGCTGGTTGCTAATGTTTACTTTAAAGGAGCCCCCTCCTTCTAATAGAGTTAAAATCACAATGATTCATCATTATATTGTACATTAAAGTTGAAATCTGCAACGGTGACTAGATGGCGTTATTTCATAATTTAGTATAATTGTTAACAGAGTTTTCGGCCGTAATTCTTTCCCGACCAAGGCTTTCTGTAGACATATGGTATCTACTTTGGATCAAGCCGGTTCTGAGAATGTTAATTAGCTAGGTACCAGAATATTCCAGCAGTTTATACTTAGATTAATGTATTACACAGAAAACATTATCAAAAGACAGTAAAACTCTGTATTTAAATAAAGTATAATGTTTCCAATTAGTGTTTGCACTTAACTTAAAACATAGGTACCAGGCAGAGCTAGATACAGTGCGTATGGTCTGTGTTTAATTTTCAACATAATTATTGGGATTTTACCAACAATTAACCTATTATGTTAATTTATGCTACGAAAACTACCATTAAAGAAAGCTGTATCTTACTGCAGTCCTTGCTGCTAGATGAAGGTGCCACAGATATTATAGTTAGATCCCTGTAATTCGTATTTGAAAAGTGTTTTTTTTAGAAGTTTTACTCCAGATGTATCATTTAATAAGTCCAAGAAAACCATAGTAAAACGAAACTTCTAGTAGGCATGTTGCATAATAATGCTTAAGTTACGTGTTAACTGACATTACTGACACGTTGACAAGTTAGCTGAAAAAAAGTCACATTGACTTAAGTATGATATGGATATCTCAGCTCGTAAATGTTATCGAATATGTTCCATAAAATTAAATAACAGAGTGAAATCGTATCAGGTAGGGCGAATAAAAGATTGTTTGGTTTGGATTTCGCGCAAAGCTACACGAGGGCTATCTGCGCTAGCCGTCCCTGATTTAGCATTGAAAGACTAGAGGGAAGGCAGCTAGTCATCACCATCCACTGCCAACTCTTGGGCTACTCTCTTACCAACGAATAGTGGGACTGACCGTTCACATTATAACGCCCCCACTTGACTTTAGAGGACCCTAAGGTTTATTGACCTTGGAGGAATACATACCATGTGGTTTCAGGATAAGAAGCCCTGCCCTAAAGTTACTTGATTTAATGTACCCTGAAGTTACCTGATCTTGGAGGAATACATACCATGTAGTTTCAGGATAAGAAGCCTTGCCCTAAAGTTACTTGATTTAATGTACCCTGAAGTTACCTGATCTTGGAGGAATACATACCATGCGGTTTCAGGATAAGAAGCCTTGCCTAAAGTTACTTGATTTAATGTACCCTGAAGTTACCTGATCTTGGAAGAATACATACCATGTGGTTTCAGGATAAGAAGTCTTGCCCTAAAGTTACTTGATTTAATGTACCCTAAAGTTATCTGATCTTGAAGGAATGCACACCAGGATAAGTGATACATCCTTCGCTGTTGTCTAATGTTAAATTAAAACGTCTTCTGAAGTTATCTAACTTTAAATTAATACTTCCTCTGAAGTTTCTTGACACAAACTCAACACATCTCCTGCATTTGCTTTAAATTAAATCGATACATACCCTATATTAGCTTGAAATTAATATAATATATACCCTGCACTTTTCTTACGCTAATTCAGTCGTCTCCTACAGATTCCTGGCGTTTAGTTAATACATCCTTATCTTCATTTTATATTAAATCAGTACATCCCTTGCAGTTGTCTACTGGCCAACTAGTACATTCTTTCAATAGACTAATATTAGAATAGTTTAGGCTCTGAGGTTCCCTAAGAGTTTTCACATGCCTAGTGTTAACGGACACTAGAACAACACAGATCCTATAGTTAATGGACACTAGAATAACACACATGCCTAGTGTTAACGGAC